ATCTGTTATTAATGCTTCCATGTTTATTTTTAAAAGTAAGTGTATACATCCAAGAGTATAAAGTAGATCATTTATCACATACCTGTAATAAAATCATAACTATGGTATATTAGTATAAAGCAGCAAGAAAAGACTACAATGCATGCTAAAGATGTATTTCAGTGATGGATTCTATCCAAAGGAAATATATTTACACTCTATTATAGGTCAACCTTAGAGCAAATGAAAGGAAGAGAACGTGAATCCCAGCCTCATTTTCCCATTTAAAGAAAATATTGGCTTGGCCAAAAAGTTAGTGTGTTTTCTGTAAAATAAAAGACACATTTTTCATTTTCACCAATAACTTTATTGATTTGGATATTTTGAGTATGTCAGCTATCTCCCGTGTGGTATAACATTGATCGTTCTCAATAACGTTGATTTGATCGCTATCAACTTCAGCTGGTCTATACAGCCGTGGAGTATCATCCAGTGAGAAATCTCCAGCACAAAACTTCACAAACCACTTTTGACATGTTTGATCAATCATAGCACCTTCTTCCTACACTGCACAAATCATTTTCTTTTTGCATTTCAGTTGCGTTTTTACCTTTCTTAAAAATAATAAAGCACAATGTGCCGAAAATGTCGCTTCTTTTTTCCCATCTTCAATATTTAAATGGCTCCACAAAAATTCACCAGTTCTGATAATTTTTAAAAATGCATGCAGATATGACAGCTGTCACAATACAGTCTAACAAAGTTGTTTTGAATGAAGTTAAAGACAACTAAGTGCTAGGGCCATCTTACAGAAAAAAATCAAATAAACTTTCTGACCAACCCTGTACATTAGAATATTTTCCTTTTAAACCCTGTGTGACCATCTGTCTACCACAGGGTGATCGTGGGTGCTAAACTGTGTGTCATAGTCTAGAAAATACCTGACACATAACAGATGCCCAATAAATGGTTGACATTGTGATTGTCTGTGGGCATGTGGCTACACTTAGGAGAATAGTCAACCACTACTGTTCTAGTACTAATGGTAACAATGACTGGTAACATGGCAATAGGACACGAAAACTTAATTCCTGCAATAACTAGAAAACATTTTCATTTTTAAGTCTACTTATGCTATAAAAATTTGTCTAAGCATGTTTTTGGATTAAAATTTATCATAAGTTAAATGTCTCCTTATAGCTGGAACAATCACTTCATTAGTAGATAATGTTCCATCTCTGTCAATCTGCTCCCTTTCACAATTACCAACTTCCTTCTAAAAATAATTGCAAGCCTACATTTAAACCTAACTTGTTTATTTTTTTGTTATATAAGAATGCCCCTGCTCTAATTCTGTAACTGAGTTCGCCATATAGACTAGAGAATTCTTTATTTACAGAATTTAAATGTGTTTTTGGTGCCACCTGGAAAAGAGTTTTGGTTTTACCACCCCAAAGATGATGATAATATTCTGGTTTGTGTGTGTGCATTCGTGCTAGTCAGAAGAAATGCTTGTAACACAACATTTAAGGCAGTTGCTTAACAGAGCTGTTATTTAAAGGTTTATAGATGTGTGAGAGGTATTGCTACTTAAGTAGCATTCCCAACTTGGTCTAATTATCAGTCCGTGCCTCACTTAACGTTCCTTGCTACTTATACTTGCACTCAGATCAGAACCCCCTATGAAGGAATAATGGGGAATAATGGGGCTGTGCTTATTGTGGCAATGAGATTGTCAAATGGATGCAATATGCGACTACGGTAACGGTCTGAAAGCAAGAATGAACAATTTCTGCTGTGTTAACCTCACAAAAACGGTAGCAAAATACGGTGGCTTTGAAGAAGTTTCCTGGCAAAGTCCAGCGCATCTGACTAGCACGCTATAAAAATGTTGACGCAAAACACAATCTGCAGCAAATATCCTTAGGAGAATAACAGATTTGGGGGCTATTTTGTACGATTTTGCAAGAGAAGCAGAGCCCCTTTGGCTCTGAAGCTCTGTTCATCAGATTTTTACCACCACAGTTCATAATGATCTCAGATAACACCACGGAATTCTGTTGGCACGTGACCCGGTCTCCCTCCACGTCCATCTTGGTTCCACGGATGGAATTCCTCCTCAGTGCATATAGATGAAGCCCTGGCTGTTTCGGTGGACAGAAGAGTCCTAGGAGAGACTGTGAGAAATCAGGCCTTGGAAAGCCCCTCCCTGGGAAGACCCAGGTTAGAGGGCGGAACCAGCGCTCTGGCTGAAACCCGCCAGTGGAAGAGGGTTCGGTGCTAAGTCCAGAGAAGAAGCACTTCCGCTCTGTTCTTAACGCATAGCATTGGCCGATTTATGGTTTATTCTGATCAGCCTGTCAGCAAAGGAACACTGTGCAAGTCAAAGGATTAAGTATTTTCTAAGGGTGTTTTTGAAAGTCAGGCTCCAAAGTGAGGGCCCATTTACACGCTGTCTTTGTTTGAGGGAGGCCTCGGCCTGCACGAAGGTTTGGCAGGTGAGAGCCCTGATGGAGCGTGCCTCTCTCTGGCAGAGCTGTTTGTGAGAGCAAAGACCTCGGGCTTGCCGATTCCCTTTGTTAGGAGCAAGGGTGCAAAAAGAGATCGTTTGTTGTATTTTTTTGCAGAGGCCAGGAGAGTTTTTGAGGGTCAGCGAAGACTCTCAACAAACCCCATCCTTGTTCCTAGGGCTCCCCCACCCCTTCCGAGCCCGCGGCAGGGAGGCGCCAGCGCCCATAGGTGGCGCCCCGCGCCCGTGCTTGCGCTCTCGCGGCGTTCCAGGCGCTGCAAGGAAACCCCGCGCGCCTCTCCAGGCCCTTAGAGCTGGAACAGGCGTTTTAATAAATATGCGCGATTGCCAGCGCGCTCCATGAGCCCCGAGGTTCACAGGAGCAGCAGAGAAACCCCGGCGGAGGCGCCTCCGTAATCCCTGCCGAATCCTGACATTTCCCAAACTGGAGACTCCGGAGCCGCAGCCTTTAAACCATTGAAATCCCAAGCCTTTGCCTCTTCGAACCAGTTTATTGTTGTTGTTGTTGTTGTTGTTATTTTGAAGTAAAACTGCTTCCCTCCCCCACCCTCCAATTATGAAAGTCGTAACGGTGCTCAGGATTAAGATTTGGAGGGAATTTGGAAAAGAAAAGAAAGACTGGAAAATCAGTGCTTTTGACGATGCCTAATTTTTGAACGAGACGTCTGGTAGGATTTCGCTCTGGGTGTTAGGGTGAGCGGCGGACCGAGCGGCGCAGGGTGCTGCAGGGAGGCGGAAGCGGGCGCTGAGCCGGTGCTGACCCGGGAGGGTGCCGGGCGTGCTCGGAGTCCTCCGAGCGTCAGGCAGTGCCGACTGGGGATCGGAGGAGAGGCCGGGGCTGCGGGGCTGCGGGGCTGCGGGCGCGGGCGAGGGAGCGGTGCACCGCGGTACGGGAGGCGGTGCGGGCCAGGTGCGCTGCGGCGCGGTGCGCGGAACGTACCGGTGCGAAGCGCCGGCGTACGCCGTGCAGGGCGCGGAGTGGGTTGCGGTGCAGCCTGGGGCGCGGGGTGTGCAAGTCCCGGGCAGGGCGCGGAGAGTGGGGAGCCGGAGACGGCCGGCGCGGGAGAGGGGCAGGGCGGGGCAGCGTTGCATTGGCCAGGCGCAGGCAGCGGGGTCGCGCCCGGAGTCTCCTCCCGCCAGCTCCGCTCATCCTCTCAGAGCAGAACTTGGCGGACAGCGGTCGGTGCTCGCCCGTCATGGATGTTGCAGGTAACCAACCCGGCCCTGCGCCCGGCGATCCGCGCGTTAATTGCATTCATATGTGTATTTCAATGGGGACCATCGCGAGTCTGCATCTGGGCGTCGGGAAAAGGCACTGAGAATATCAACATCATTTTGTCTGGGGCTGAGGACGGAGGCTCCTCATGGAGACACAACTTCTCTCTTCTTAGACTATTGGAGGAGTTGCTCGGAGGCCGTGGGCGGCGAGGGGAGAGGCTTCCGTGCTTTCTGTTTCTGGGCTGGGTAAGGAAATGACCTGCCTGGTTTAGGGGGGAGCAGAGGAGGCCGGGGAAAGTGCAGGCAGCGAGTAAGTTAGCAGAGAGCCGCGGGGGGCCGCCTCTTAGCCCGGCAAGAGGGAGCCCAGGCTCTGGAAACAAAAGCTGCACCATCAGCTCAGCTCGAGGCTCTGGTAGCTGGAATCCTCGCCCCGCGCCCAAGGGATCCGAGGGGCTCTCCAAAGGCGCTCGCTGCTGGCTGGGGGGACCTGGAAGTGGGCGTTTGCTTTAGGGTCTCTTTTTCTCATATTCACCTTAAGGAGCTTTCTGGGCATTTGGTTTTTGGGTGGAAAATCGGTAAGATCTTCATTAAGTGGACTGCTTTTTAAAAAATCTCCAAGATGAGAAAAGAAAAAGAGGATCAAAGGGAAAGCAGAGAAAGGAAAAAGGTTTCTTGGTGTGGCTTTCAAGAAAATACCGCTGAAATGAAGGCGATACAGCATTAGTGGATTTTCCTTTGCCTGAGTCCTGAGCCCCCCTCCGCCTTAGGCCGAATGGGATGTGGGGGTGGCTTTATGCCGCACCCCAGGGTCCCCGAACCTGCCTTAGTGCTGAGGCCCAGCAGAATCGCGGCCCCTGACCTGACCTCCGGCCCTCCCCACCCCCGCCCCCACCCTCAGCCACGCAGGCGTGCAACACCGGGAGCTTTCGGGGATACCCTGCCCAGGGCTCCGCGGCATTTCTCGGAACCTGTTGTGCCACTCGGGGAGGGGGATTGGCTGTGCGCAGGACGAGAGGGTAGCCTCGGGCAAGGGGGCCCGAACGCAGCAGGCGCCTGCTCCCCTTGCCCCCTCCCTGCACAGCTTCACCCCCCAGTCTAAGGGTTTGGGTTCTTTGCCCTCACAGGTCCGCTGGCGCTTTTCTTGTGAGGAGGACCCTGGCCTTAACCATCAGAGCAGTGGACCGAGGCCAGAGGAGACTACCCCCGGCCCTGCGTGTTGCTGGACCGCGCGCACTCCTTCAGCCCCTGCCGGCCGCCGTCCTTGCGTGCCGCCCCCCAAGGCCGGATGCCGGCGCCCGGCCGGGGCCCCCAGGGGCCACCGCTGACCATGCCCGGGCTCCGGGGGGCGCTGCGCGGGCCGGCCGGCTGCGGCTCCTGCCTCGGGGCGGCGCTGGCCCTGCTGCTGCTGCTGCTCCCCGCCGGCTGCCCGGTGGGGGCTCAGAACGACACGGAGCCCATCGTGCTGGAGGGCAAGTGCCTGGTGGTGTGCGACTCGAGCCCGTCGGCGGACGGTGCGGTCACCTCCTCGCTGGGCATCTCCGTGCGCTCCGGAAGCGCCAAGGTGGCCTTCTCCGCCACGCGGAGCACCAACCACGAGCCGTCGGAGATGAGCAACCGCACCATGACCATCTACTTCGACCAGGTCAGCCGGCAGGTCTGCGCACCGTGCCCCCAGTGCGGGGAGGACGCGGGCCTGGGCGCGGGCTGGGGCTCCTGGCGTCCCAGACCTGGAGGTCCAGGCGCTTCCCTTCTCTGCCCTGCCCTGCCCTGCCCTGCCCCTCTGCCTCCTCCCTCCTGCTTCTAGTGAGCTCCACTGGCCGTTTCCCCTTCTCACGTTGTTGCTTCTTGGTGACGACTGCCAGCTCAGGTGGCACTTGGGCAGCTGAGTCCCGGAAAAGTGAAGAGGTCAGAAATGTATTTCCCATGAGGGAACCGACCATTTTCCTTTTCGGTCGGGTGGAGGCTGTCATTTGTGGTGGATGGGCCTCAGCGACCCAGGGGGCCCACGCAGAGACGGAGCATTTACAATCCCCCGGCTGGAGGAAGGGCTCGTAGGCCGTCTGCGTCCCAGCCGTTGCTCAGGAAAGGCGCAGCTATTGCTTGTTCGGAAGGGACTGAGGATGTTTATCTCCAAGAAAAATAAGTAGCTAAGAATGTGAGGGGAAGTAGCAGGGATGATTATATAAACACAAAACAAAAGAACGTGTGGTTTTATCAGTGCAATATATTGTGAAAACTGTACAAAATGTATTCTACAAATATAGTATCTACACTATATCAATATATAGTGTGGTTATAGGAATTTTAAAAAAAAAGATCGATGGCTTAAGTTATCCTGACCCACTTCAGTTCTCCCACTTGGGTCAAAGCTGGGGCGTCATCAGCATGACCCTCCCCTGGCCGTCCCTTCTCCGGCTGGTGGCTGCTCAGGATGAGAGGTTGTGACCTGCCTCTTTGGTCCTGCCCCATCAGTTTCTGCTGCTTTCCAGAAACAGACGGAAAACTTAATAGGGGTCTCCAGACTGGACCACCAGTCCCTTCCTTTGACAAAATGCTTTTCTCAAACGGAGCCCGGTTGGCTGCGACGCGCACGGGCCGGGCGTCCGCACTGAGACTCCCCCTGCCCACTCGCCGGCCCTCACACCCATGTGCTGATACGGCCGCGCACGCACCCCCACCCAGTCCTAGGCCAGCGGGCTCACTTATTTGAACTCCCCTTAGGAAGCGTGTACATACTTGAAATTTGGGGAGCCTTGGGGTGGTGGTGGGAGGGAGTCTGGCTTTAATCTGTTTTTGTTGACAAGACACACAAAAATATTTACTTTCATTCAAATAAAGGCGACGAAAAGAAATAGGTAATTGGACTAATTCACCTTCCCGCCTCCTGCAGAGAGCGGCACAGCCTCTATGTGCCCATCGTTTCATCTGGGTGTCAAGGAGACGGTGACGTGGGTCAGGACAAGCAGTAGCAGGGTTCTCATGCTGCGGACAGGAAGCCTACGGCTGGGTAGGCGGAGCGGTGTGTCCCTGGCTCCCCGTCAGGGAGAAGCAGCCTGCCTTTCGGAGCTGGTTGCGAGTTCTCTCTACGGCAGGGGCCTGAATTTGCCAGGGTCCCGAATTTAAAATTGGGGAGAAAGAGTTGAGGTGAAGAGTAGGAAGAAGCAGCTCGAAGGGCTGGGATAGAGGACACTTTGCTCTTTTTGAAGCGCTGTAACAGAGACAGCCTTGGGGAGACAGAGAACAGGGAGGCACGCCGTCCCCAGCCACAGAGCCCAAGCGTCTGCGCTAGCCGCAGCCTGGGAATGGAGGCGGTGCCTGCCGACTTCCGAGGGCTTCCCACGGCTGTGCTTGCGGCTGCAGTTGGCATCGCTCTGGGGATTGCATGTTATTCATCTGTAATGAGTGCCTAAGAAATCACCGCACAATGTATTCAGATGACATTTATTTTCTGAACAGATGACAGGCTCTCTCATCTAGGGCTGTGTTGCTGTTGCTGGCTGTGTGTCTTAAAAGCTGAGAACGGCAGGCAGGCCATCCTAGTATGTTCATCAAGGTTGTGCCTGTGTGCGTGAGTAGGATCGGGGACAGGATCCAGGCAGAGTGCCCCAGTCCTGTCTTCCGCATCCGAGGAGGAAGAATTCGCTTATCATGGGGGACCCTCCACCCTTCAGGCTCTGCTCATGAAGCCATGCCCTCAGCGGCTCTGATTCGAGGAAAACCATCTGCGGGGCCATGTGACCTCGGGTCCCCTGGCTGGATTTGCCATGATTCTTCCACGTGACGGAAGTCCCGGGGTTGAGCCAGGGGTGTCCAAGCCGCTCTGTGGACTCTCCTGCTGTTTATTCAGGCTTATTACATGACGTCATCGCTCATCCAAGGAAGCAAACGTTACTCAGGGGAGAGGGAGGGCGGCAGGCACAGCCTGTGTTCAGGGACTGCCGTCTTTCACTCGGCAGCCATTATTGAGCACCTACTGTGTGCTGCCAGCGTGCATGCTGGAGCTGCGGGAACACGGAGACCCAGACTTCGCACAGCCCCTTCTGTCCCAGAGCATGGGAAGGCAGGTCCCCAGCTGCATCTGAGGGACGTGGTTTTGCTTTGTTGGCCACCTGCCCCACAGCCCCATTTGGCCCAGCCCTTCATTTTTGTCAAAGCTCCACGTTACATTCCCCATAATCCCACAAACGTCAAGACACATTCGGTTTCCAGTTTGTTTACTGACCTCACTGTCTTCCTTCTTCTCTGCCCTGGTCCTCCACGTACAAAATTGGCACCATTTTTTCACCTCATAGATGGATATACTGTAAAAAATCTTTATGCATCACCATCTACTAGGCTACCTTTGAGATCACTTGATCGCTTCCCTGTAGGTGTTTCTGCTCCAGCAGCCCCTCCCCCACAGCCCCGAGGGCAGGGCACAGAGGACCTGGGGTCACCGTCGTACCTGTCTGATCGTGGCACAGGCTGAGGGGCCAGGTGCGGGGGGAGCGCGCTATGTCTGTGCTGTGTTCCCTCCTCTCTTTCAGGTGTTAGTAAATATCGGCAACCATTTCGATCTCGCCTCCAGTATATTTGTAGCACCGAGAAAAGGGATTTATAGCTTCAGCTTCCATGTGGTCAAAGTGTACAACAGACAGACCATCCAGGTGGGTAGTTCTGCAAACTGGACCTTTCAGCTTTGGGTTGCTCATCCGCCATTGCTGTGGACCCTGTCGCCCCCTCTGTGAGACCTGGGGCTGGCCGGCACCTGGGGCTGGGACCCAGCTGAGTCCTCTGGGTCAGGCCCCTGGGATGGGCTCCGTGGAAAGGGTGGGGGAGGGGCGGGGCGAAGAGAAAGGTGTGTGGGAACAGCTCTGCGGGGTCTGCTGAGCGTACCTCTCTGCATTGTAGGTCAGTTTAATGCAGAACGGCTACCCAGTGATCTCCGCGTTCGCAGGAGACCAGGACGTGACCAGAGAAGCGGCCAGCAATGGGGTCCTCCTGCTGATGGAGAGGGAGGACAAAGTGCACCTCAAACTGGAGCGGGGCAACCTCATGGGAGGCTGGAAGTACTCCACGTTCTCGGGCTTCTTGGTGTTCCCTCTATAAAGGCAGAGCTGGGGTGGCAGGGCAGTTGCCTCTGGACCCAGGAATCCCCCCTCCGTACCCCCCCCGAACTTGGCCGAACAGGACGACTTGTTTCCAAACTCTGTCCAACTGTCGCAGTAGAAGAATGATTTCCTTCCAGATCTCCAGTATTTTATTTGACTATTGACCATTCCTTGGGAACCTGGCCTCTAATTAGTTTTAGATGACAAGGTCTTCAGGAGAAATGGCGTTATTGATTTGAGCAATTTGTACCTGTGATTGTAAAGTCGATCTGGGATTTTACTGTTGGGACCACTGGCGTTTCCTCTTTTGTTTGGACACTGTGTTGTTGCCCTGCCCGGACCTCAGGATGGACTGACTGCAGGTTGGTGGCGGCGGCGGCGCGCAAAGCAGGAGCCCTGCGAGGCGCCCCTGCTGGCCAGCCCGTGAAATGGGGTCGCTGTGTGTCTGTTCAGCCTTAAGAAAAAGGATGGCATCGCTTTCGTTCTGTGTGTTTCCCGGGGAGGCTGGGGGGACTCGGGAGGGGGAAGGGGCATTGTGAACCTGTCCAGAAGTGCTTTATCTGGAGAAGCAAAGTTTGCACGATTGGACTGCGACTCTTGTTCTGTACTCTGTGTGTATGTGTGTGTCTCCCTCGAAAAGCTTTACTTTTCTGTCCACACGCAGCTCTCCCTCCTCACCCTTGCTTTTGTTCTTCACTCTGGGGTGAGGGAGAGGAAGTGTATGTTGAATTCCCGGATGAGACCAAACGAAACAAAACAAAAGGTACCTGTGTATTTTGTTTTGGATGAGGCCAAACCAAACAAAAGTCACTTGCATATCAAAGTAAAAAAGACAAACGGACAATCGCGCTGCTTCTTTCCAAGAGACTTTCTGAGAGGCACCTGTAGAACTAACAACGTGGATTTCTTGTTTTTCATTCACTTTCTGGAATACGGTAAGCACCTGATGTTCTAGGGTGGCCTGGGTCACATAAGCTGACGACAGGATCTGTGTGACCGCGTCTCCTGAGTATGTGGCTTCCTGGCCGAGGGACCTGGGTCTTCCCAGCAGCAGGCGCCATTGATTGGGATCCACCCTGCGTGAGCATGCTAGGATCAGGTGCTTCAAAGACAACAGGACCGGCCAGTCTCCGCAGGACACTCTTCTGATCGGCCCAGGAAAGGGGTGTGGCCAACCCCGTGCACCTGGCTGGAAGCTGTGCTGCGTCTCAGTGGTTACAAGCTATTGGCCAGAGGCGCCCTAGGAGCTGGTTCTCAAATCCTTTCTGGGTTGGCACCTTGTACAACAGTATTATTAAAATCCAGCTGAGAGTTGATGGGTACAGGAGTCCTTTGCCAGGGACATGTCACTAATCCCAAAGCAGTCAAAGAAGAGACCTCAAACCGGATGTTCATTTGTCCTTTGTGTAACAATGTAACCAAAATATTGATGATAAAAATCATAATTTAAGATGCAGAATAAATGGGTTCGATGTCTGGCTTGCTCTTCTCCCTTCACATCGTTTCCCAACTCTCAAACTGTGTGTGAGTATCAGCCAAGGGTCAAGGACCAGCAGAAAGCGAGTCCTTGCCCTGCCTGTTCAGAAAACACAGGCACAAACGCCGCCCTGCACCCAGGGCTGGCTGCGGGTCTAGTCTAGGTGGAAGCTGCGCACCTCACACATTTCAATCTGTACATAATATTTTCCACACAGTTTTGGGGGAGATAGGTGAAAAATAGATAGCATTCAAGAGGCTTTCTGGATAAGGCAATCTGCTTTTCATCGTATATAGTCCTTGACGGGGTTCAAGTACCAATTCAATATTTCAACCAGAGACCAGGGATGAAAGGAAACTGACATTTGAAGATAGTCAGCTGTTTCTAATGTACGTGTGAGGATGGTACAGCATTGGATCCCGTTTTCCAAACAGAAATGCAGTGGGGATTATGTAAATGAAAAACTCTAGTTTGACGAAGGGCCTGCGTCTCACTGGCCTTTGGTGAAGAGAATAGTGGGATGCAGAATTAAATTTGAATTAGGATGCTGTTACGTTTTGTGAGGGGGTGGGGAGCACAAAGAAACACCCACTGAAAGGCGTTAGGGCGCTGTGATGAATAGGGATACTTCCAGGCGAGAGCACCGTTTATGAGTGCTGCTGACCGAAGCTGCAGGCTGCTGGCTCGTAGTTTTCCTCTGTTTTATCGCCTTCAGTTAGTTCGTCCTTTTGCTTTCATTCCCTTAACCTTCTGTTGGATTTAAAATCAACAGCAAACCTCATTAGAGGACAATATAGCACTTCAGAGATTGAAAGATATATGAGTCCTTCGTATTTTTATTGCTTACAAATATGATATACAAGTATTCCTTTGTATTTACAACTTTATTACATAAGGCTGTCATTTGGTTATACTGTCTAATAAATAAGTTATTAAATGGACCGATGTAAACAATAAGTCTATTTCAGGAGTTTGTTTTATGTCAGGTAAAACGCTTCCTTCTGTTTATGTCACTTTTTTTTTTCTCCTTGAGCTGGATGCAGAGACCGCCTCAGGAAGGCGACGTGAGAGTGTGTCTCTGCGGTTGTACCTGGCACCGCATCTGCCCAAGTCCCCTTTGGCTAAGGATCTGGGAGGGAGATGACGCTCCTGTGTATGGCCCGCAAAAATACATAGGTCAGACCAAAATATGAAACCGGCTTTCCTTTAATGAGGAAAAAGAGGCATGTATAATGCGTACAGCCTGATGCGAGCAGCTCTACCCCTGAGCCTCAGTTTCCCCCATCTGTCGAGTGCGGACAGTGACCCCTGCCCAGCTCACAAGGCTATTGTGGGGGTCATGCGGAGGCCCAGTGACAGGAAACGGAGGGTGTTTCTGGGAGGTCACGTTTTTCAGCACGTGGTTTAGGAAACATTCCATACGAACATCTGACAGAACATTTTTATGTGAATGTTCCTGTTCTTGAATAACGAAGTAACACTGTTACACTATAGTAAAGTAGAAACTGATTTTTAAGAATAATATGGACATATGAACATCTATACATTTTCACGTGAGCACAGTTCTCAGCGATGTTATTTGACTCTCTCTTGTGGCTCAAGCCCACCTTTCGGTGCCAGCGTGTAACACTAACATTTTATAAAAATATATTTATACGACTAACATTTTTAACAGGTAAATAGTGAATTACCATTTTTTTGGCTTATACTAACAAGTTGGTCTAGTTGAAAAATGTTAATCCTACTCATTGTAAAAGCTTTTCTTAAAAAATAATAACTTTTTAACTTAATATTCTAATTTAAAGCACAACCCTGATGATTCAACGCCAGGCTCAAGGATCTGTGTTTCCGATCTGTAATGCCTGGGCAGGCAGGATACTCTTTTTTTGCATCCTAATATTTTGATTTATGTATTCGTGTATAATAAAATTATTTACGGTAGTTGCTCAGAGCAGAGGTGATAAAAGCCAGTTGAATATGGGCTTGCAAACTGATGGCATCCTGTAGAGAGTAATATTTACTTGCCTGGAAAAAAATTTCAGGCTAAATCTTGTTATATCAAGCACCAAAAGAGTTAAAAAGATATGCAAAGCAAACTGAAACCTTGCTGACTCCTCTTTTTTTTTTTTTGGTACTATTTCCTTGATATCAAGGGAACTGAAATGAAGTCACATACATAATGTTTGCCTGCAAATACATGAATGCATGCTTTTTTATAAAATACAGATTGGCCGCATTCTCCCGGACTCTAGAAATAAGTGCAAGGAAAATTTGATAAATCACTTTCTGCAAGAAAAACAAAAGCGTGGCTAGCTCCGTGATGCCTCATACACTGCAGACTGAGCAAGGAGCGTCCTGTGAATTTACGTCCACCTAAGTATGCAATCTTTTAAAAGGAAATAAATATAGCATAAGGTAATGCAACTGTGAGTAGTTCTGTCCACGTTTTCTACAGCATAGGAAGCATATAATAACCCAATGCATAGATGCACATGAACGAAACGCTCGTTACGTTATAGCTAAGACAGTGGCAACGAATGGCCGCACTCAGGTGGCGGAGCCCAGACACAGGCCACGCTGAGTCGCTCTAGAGGTTTTGACTGTGTGCTCTGTAGAAACGCCTGTAAAACGCGTTGAGCCACCTTCACCATAGAACTGCAGTGAGTTGGTGCCCTTTGCCTTGCTTATGTGGGTGTTTCAGTGTCGCTGGGACTCTGTGTCTGAAACTCACACTTTGCTGCTAAAATGGTATGTTACAAACATGCTTTCAATTTTAAGATCAAAGCCTATAAATTCTCACAAGACTCTTAAAATAGATTTCCTTGGCATTTAAGGAGCAAGCACACCAAATATAAGGAAATACGCTGAAATACAATTTCCAGTTTGGTTTTATCATTTTTCAGTTTTGGGGCTCAGATTCTTTTTTTTCTTCCAGTGATACTCAGAAGACATTAACTGATGATGGTCGCATTCATTAAATGACCTGTTTACATATTTGCCTAGACCTTTAAAATGTGATATATATTTTTTTGCAGATCTACTGCCTTGGCAGATTGAGGGCTAAAAGGGTCACATTTAGATATTTTAAACATGGATGTGTTACACAGCTATCTATGATGCAATTGATCAGATCTAGTCCTCACCCTCCAAAAAAGGGAAAAAAAAAGTCTTGTCAAAAACCCTTTAAGGCAGATTCAATGAATATAAACTTTGTTTAAAAAGCCTGTATAATAACTTTAAGCTAAAACATGAATTCTAAGCAAATGAGCCCCTTCCCTTCCCAAACCCAGGGGGGTAACTAGAAATTAAGGGCAAAAGCCATGTGCTTGTACCTCCCCCGGAGAACAGGGGCTCTGTTTTATCTTCCTAAGTGGATTTAGCTGTGGATTTCCATCACTGGAATCACTTAAGGGCCTGTAGGCTCATAAATCATCACCTTCCTCAGCTCGCCCACACACACTCACTGGGGGTGCCAATGAGCCCCCTGACAACTTCATTGGGAAAAGAAATCTTCATTCCCT